ATGCGTGAGTCGTGCGTGCGTGAGTCCTGCGTGTGTGAGTCCTGTGTGCGTGAATCCTGCGTGCGTGAATCCTGCGTGCGTGAATCCTGCGTGCGTGAATCCTGCGTGGGTGAGTCCTACGTGCGTGAATCCTGAGTGCGTGAGTCCTGGATCTCAACTTCGCGGTCCCTTTCGAATGATCCTCTACCCCTAACGCAGGACCCCCCCCCCCTCGAGACTCCCATTAAAACCTCCCTCCTGTAGGACCCCCGCCCACAAGTCTCCCATACACAGCACTCCTTACCACAGGACTCCCACCCACAGTTCGCCCACGGATCCTCACCCACAGAACTCCTACACACAGAACCCTCACCCACAGGGGTCCCACCCACAGTACTCCCACACACAGTTCTCACACATACAGTTCTCCCACAGGGCCTTCACCCACAGGACTCCCACACACAGTACTCCCTCCCACAGGACCCTCACCCACAGGACTCCCACACACAGTTCTCCCACAGGGCCTTCACCCACAGGACTCCCACACCCAATACTCCCTCCCACAGGACTCCCACAGGACCTTCACCCACAACCCACACACAGTTCTCCCACAGGACCTTCACCCACAGAACTCCCACACACAATACTCCCTCCCACAGTTCTCCCACAGGACCCTCACCCACAGAACTCCCACACACAGTACTCCCTCCTACAGGACTCCCACAACACCTTCACCCACAGAACTCCCACACACAGTACTCCCTCCCACAGGACCCTCACCCACAGTACTCCCTCCCACAGGACCTTCACCCACAGAACTCCCACACACAGTACTCCCTCCCACAGGACCCTCACCCACAGTACTCCCTCCCACAGGACTCCCACAAGACCTTCACCCACTGAACTCCCACACACAGTACTCCCTCCCACAGGACCCTCACCCACAGTACTCCCTCCCACAGGACTCCCACAGGACCCTCACCCACAGTACTCCCTCCCACAGGACTCCCACAGGACCTTCACCCACAGAACTCCCACACACAGTACTCCCTCCCACAGGACCCTCACCCACAGGCCTCCCGCCCTCTTTCCGCGGGGGCCCTCCACCGGAAGCTGTCGTTGATTAGGGCGGTCACTCCATCGGCGAACTCCACGTCCCTCCCCCTTTCACTCCCTCCCCCTCCCCCCCTCCCCCCTCCCTCTCACCCCGTCGCTTGTTTACCCTTGAGATGTGTTCGGTTATCACTTTGTCCCGTTCGTTGCCGTTTTATCCGTTTTTTTCATTTCCTTTTAATTTCGTTTGTCTCTCTTTTTTCTCTCTCTCTCTCTCTTGTTCGTTCGTTTCTCGTCTTTTGTTTTGTATGTGAGTCTCTTTATTTTTCTCTTTGTTTGTCGTTTTTTCTTTCGTTCATTCTTCTTCTTTCTCGCTCTTATTCGTATTTTCCTTCTTTCTCAGTTATCTCTTTTTTTTTCTTTTCTTTCTATCTCCTTTCTCTGCTATGCGATTCTCCTCTTATTTATCTTATTCTCATGCGTTTTCATTCACCTGTTTTTCTTTTTTATTTATCTTTTTTTCTCTGTTTCTCATTTCTCATTTATTTGCCATTTTCTTTCGTTCGTTTTCGTTTCTTCTTTCTCTCTCACTCTTTCTGTTTTCTTTCGCCTCATTTATCTCTCATACGTTTCTCATTTTCTCTTTATGGTTCACTCGCACCTCGTTCTCTTCATTATTTCCTTTTTCTCTCATTCGTTTCCTCATTCGCTTGTCTTTCTCATACGTTTTTTCATTTCTTTTGTTTCTCGGGCTTTCTCTCTCCTCCGTTTGCTTTTGTGTTATTCGTTAATTTTATTGTCTTTCCCTTCGTATTTTCTTTAATTGCCTTTTTTTCTCTTATTCGCTTATTCTCCTTTCTCGTTGCTCACTTTTCTCATATTTTTCTAATTTATTTGTCTTTCGTTGATATTTCTCTTCCTTTCTTTTTATTCATTCATATCTCCATCATTCGCTTCTCATTTCTCATTCGTTTTCTAACATTTTTTCTTCTAATTAATTTGTTTTCTTTCCCTCATTAGTTTCTCCCTTTTCTCATTCGCTCGTTCTTAATTCTCGTTTGTTTATCTCTCTGTCTCATTTGTTGATTTTTTCTTCTTTTCCTATGTCTATCTATCTATATCTACCTAGCTGTACCTATCTTCTATCTATCTATCTATATCTATCTATCTGTATCTGTCTTCTATCTATCTATCTATCTATATCTATTTGTATCTATCTTCTTTCTGTCTATCTGTATCTATCTCCTATCTATCTATCTATCTTCTATATCTCTCTATTTATCTTCTACATATCTATCTATCTCTTTTTTTACTTTCTTCTCATATCATTATTATTATTATGATAATTATTATTCGCCTGTCTCTCCCTTTTATTCGTTTATCTCCCCCACCTTATTCGCTAGCATTTCTTTCTCGTTTTTTTTTATCGCTTATTCTCCTTTCGTTTACTCTTCGCTTCCCTTCCTGGTATAGTTGGATGACAGACGAAGGGAAGTAGCAATGGGAAGAGAAATGGGGAGAGAGACACAGATGAAAAGGACATGAAATGGAAAGAGAAAGAGAATAGAGCTTCTGTAAAGGCGAAAGAAGGAGGAGGAGGAGGAGGAGGAGGAGGAGAAGAAGAAGAAGAAGAAGAAGAAGAAGAAGAAGAAGAAGAAGAAGAAGAAGAAGAAGAAGAAGAAGAAGAAGAAGAGAGAGAGAGAGAGAGAGAGAGAAGAGAGAGAGAGAGAGAGAGAGAGAGAGAGAGAGAGAGAGAGAGAGAGAGAGAGAGAGAGAGAGAGAGAGAGAGAGAGAGAGAGAGAGAGAGAGAGAGAGAACGAGAAATCAACACACCCGATTGGAAGAACATGACAATATAAAAAAAAACTAAAAAATAAATAAACAAACGATAGGAAAAACGAAAATAATCGGAGGAGAGAAGAATAAAAGAACAGTAGAACGAGCAGAAGAAAGAAAATAATCAGGAATGAAAGCAGGAGACTAAAGAGAACAAGGAGAGAGTCACAAAGAGCATGCGACTGGCCACCGGACCACAACAGCCAGACATGCGATTTCTTCCCGCCTCTGCTGTGTCTTGTTGATAAAAGGGACACATAGATGGCGCCACGATGATGGACATAGGTCTTTGAATTGATTTTTTTTTTTTAGGTTATTATTAATCTGTTTGATTTGTACGTCTTTGGAATATTGGTTTATTTAGTTTGGGGTTCATTAAAGAGGGTTTTTTAAAGAGGATGGGTGGGTGTTAAGATGTAAAAAGTACTATCGTGTGGGTGTTAAGATGTAAAAAGTACTATCGTGTGGGTGATTTTTTTTTGTATTATGAAAGAATGTGTAGGACAATGAAACATTTTAGAATAAAGTATTTTCTTGATAATTCGAGAAGAATTTAAATTAGATCGCTTTGTTTTCGATATATTAAAACCGTTTTCGATATATTAAAACCGTTTCGGCAAGCACGAGACTAAAATAAATCGTTTGTAAGTAAGAGTCTCGTAGCGGCGAAACAATATGACAAGAGAGCGAGCGATTTTTTTTTAATGGTATGGAAAAGAATTCTAATAGGATTCATGATGTGGGAGGACGGTATTCCGGTTCTACTGTCTGCTTGATTTACCGGCCTTGAAATCGCTTCAAAAACCGTTGTAAATGTATCGTGCCGTTGAAGTTTTAGTTACTATGTAGTGTAAAGGATGTGACAACGTAAAACAAACTCCATGGCAAAAGTTGTGCTTGCGTCGGGGAGCGTGGTGCATGTCCCCGCCCATTCGTGTTTACCGAAGTGCATTCGGTGTCTGCACAATCATGCAGGGAGAGTGAAGCCCCTGCGAACAACACTGCTTCTGCAATAGATGACGCAGTCTTCGCTACACCCGAATGCTGACTGAGTGCCGTGGTCCATGCACGTTCGTTCGCCGCCGACGGAAGGGAGAGGAACGAAGCAAAGGCACAACGTCTGGCGCGTGCGGCGGCTGAGAGTACGATCCTCTTCCGCGCTTCTCTTTTCCCGGAGACAGCTCTGAAATTCCCAAACCGAAAATACGAACTGTCCCTAGACAATATGTAACAACACAAACGGAAAGATTAGTGGGGGAAGGGGGGTACCCCCTGATGACGTCATCTTGACGTCATCGGTTTCACTTCATTATACGCTAGTGGTAGCGAATAGCGACTTTTACGAAAGCGGAATGCAGAAACATAATGGTCCTAAGGTGTAGACGGATCAGGAATCACCTCTAGAAACAATGTAGCTCCTGCAAATGAAAATGTTGCAGAGCGAGTCCGGCCGCAGTGGCCCCCCTCCCCCCCCCTCCTCCGCCTGAGCCAGCATCACTCCCTGTGACGGCCGCGTCCGCCGCCACTCCGCGTCCGGACGTCGTGCTGCATACATATAGCGGCTCCCGTTCCAACCTCGGCCATCCTCTGTCGCTCCTGCAACAGGACACAGCGCCGTGAAAGCCGCTACAGTGACTCGTATCACCTCGCTCTAGGCTCTCCTGACCGGCCACGATATTGTCGCGGAATCCTTAAGACACAACTCCTCGAGGCAGCAGCAAGACTTCCTGGTCCCGACGGCCTTCGCAAACACCCGTTCAGCAGCAGTATCTTCTGCGTCGACATGAACACATTCGCCCTTCTACAGGTAGGTCTTAGCGCATTCGAGGGCGACGTATCGCACCTTCGGGAGGGATGTCGTGGCTCGGCGTCGTTAGTGCATTCCTCGACGTCATCATGCAGAAACCTATGTCATGCACGGTTGGAGGGGGGAGGGGGTTGTCACGGTGTGCATGGAAGGCTGTCATGAGGAGATCCCGTTTAAGAATTCTTGTCAGTTACTTCATAAGCCTTCACGTTTATTGCTGCTTTGCAGGATTTTGCTCTTGGTGAAGACTCATTTTCTCGTCTGCTTTTTTTTTATACTGGCCGATAAAAAGTCTACCTTGACTTGTCTGCCTTACTATAAAGAG